GGTCCACTTTCTTCTCCCTACCTTTCAGACTATTGTGATGCCTGGTTGTTGCATTAAGTCCAAAAATTTTGGATGAGAGGAAGGAATGGGATACTCCAGTTTAGTGGAACTGGAAGTCAATTTTATTTATTTGCTTAAAATTTTTTTTATTTTATATTGGAGTATAGTTGATTAACAATGTTGTGGTAGTTTCAAGTGGATTGCAAATGGATTCTATTGTAAATTGCAATTTCAGGTGGATTGCAAATACCCTATATATACATGTATCCATTCTCCCTCAAACTCCCCTCTCATCCAGACTGCCATATAACACTGAGCAGAGTTCCCTGTGCTATACAGTAGGATTTTATTGGTTATCCATTTTAAATATAGCAGTGTGTACATGTCAATCCCAAATTCCATATCTCTTCGCCCCATTCTTCCCCTGCTGCCAACCATAAGTTCATTCTCTGAGTCTGTGAGTCTGTTTCAGTTTCATAAATAAGTTCATTTGTATCATTTCCTTTTAGATTCTTCATGTTAGGGATGTCATATGATACTTCTCCTTCTCTGTCTGACTTACTTCACTCAGCATGACAATCTCTAGGTCCTTCCATGTTGCTGCAAATGGAGTTATTTCATTCTTTGTAATGGCTGAGTAATATTTCATTATATATATGTACCGCATCTTCTTATCTATTCCTCTGTCAGTGAACATTTAGGCAGCTTCCATGTCTTGGCCATTGTAAACAGTGCTGCAGTGGGCTGCATGTATCCTCTTGGACCATGTTTTTTTCTGGGTATATGCCCAGGAGTGGGATTGCAAGGTCATATTGTAGCTCTACTTTTAGTTTTTTTTTTTTTTTAAAGAACCTCTATACAGTTCTCCATTGTGGCTGCACCAATTTACATTCCCAACAATAGTGTAGGAGAGTCCCCTTCTCTCCACACCCCCTCTAGCAATTATTTTTTGGATTTTTTTTTTGATGATAGCCATTTTGATTGGTGTCAGGTGATATCTCATTGTAGTTTTGCGTTTCTCTAATAATTAGCCATGTTGAACCTCTTTTCATGTGCCTTTTGGCTGTCTGTATGTCTTCTTTGGAGAATGTCTATTTAAATTTTCTACCCATTTTTTTTTAATTGTATTTCTTGTTTTGATACTGTTAAGCATCATGAGCTGTTTGTAAATTTTGGAGACTAATCCCTTGTTGGTCACATCATTTTCAAATATCTTCTCCCAATCTGTGGATTTTTTGTTTATTGTTTGCTTTGCTGTGCAAAAGCTTTTGCGTTTAAGTAAGTTCCAGTTGTTTATTTTTGTTTTTATTTCCATTATTCTGGGAGATGGATCAAAAAAGATAATGCTGTAATTTATGTCAGAGAGTGTTCTGCCTATATTTTCCTCTAGGAGTTTTATGGTGTTCCGTCTCACGTTTAGATCTCTAATCCATTTTGAGCTTACCTTTGTATATGGTGTTAGAGAATGATCTAATTTCATCTTTTTTACATGCAGCTGTCCAGTTTTCCCAAACTGATGCACCTATGGTCAACTAACCTATAACAAGAGGGAAGACTAAACAGTGTTGGAAAGATAGGTTCTTCAATTTTATTTATTTACTTTTGTTTTGCTTTTTCCTACTACACTCTTAATGGTCACCTTCAATTGGAGAACTCAGTTTTCTATATATATCTTTAAATTTCTCTCTTTGTTTTGTATTTTTTCCACTGATTCAATCAACATTAGTGACACTTGTCAGTTGTCAACAGAGTTCTTCTATTCTTCTATAGCTGCTCCATTTGTGGATTGTGACTGAACACACAGTTCTTCCCCTGCGCTCCGTGATAATACACAAAGCATGTGGTATGCCTGCAAGCTATCAGCTTAATTAGATCTTGATGTTCGAAGAAAGGAATCATTACGTCTGCCCTGCAGGGTGTCCCACCTTTCTTGGAGAACTGAGTGTACTGCCTGAAATCTGCTGAGGAGTGAATGTTCTCTGGGCATTTGTATTTATTTGCTTCTTATTACATCATATCATGTTTGAATCATAGTTCAGGTGCAGCCATATGTCCACATAAACAACTTTTCCAAACTTTGCTAACATACAGTGGTGGAATAGGATGTTATGGTCAGTGAGATTAAGCAGAATATTTTTGGTGGAGTATCTGATAAGATATTTTAAAAGGGAGGGGCCAAAGATTCAAGCTATGTGTACTCATTAACTTCTGCTGTGTCACTTCCTTGTCCACGAAACATGATCATAGGCCTGGTGGCAATGCAGCCATCTTGTAACTATGGAGCAAGAGTATATACTAGGAATCGTGAAAAGAGGAGATACATTGCCAGGTGCCCAGTGTCATTGTGAAGCTCTTACAGCCTCCCTTGCCTTTACATCATATGAGAAGAGGAAAACCCTAATTTGTATGATATCTTTTTTGCAGGATTTGTTTCACAATATAGCCTATTATATTTTCTAACCAGCAGGTCATGTGTTAAACACTGAAAGAACTGAATTAGAAATTGAGGAATATAGTCCTTTCTTAATGGTATAGACATGTAGTTTTCCTCCTTATTTTTCATTCTTTTTATGTCTCCACATAGATATGAGAAGCAATCAATTATATCAGGGTATCTTGACTTGAAGCTTCAACGACTGGAGAAAAATTACCTGCTAACTATCAGAAGGGTGAAATCTTCAAATTTCAATTTGAAAAACAAACACACAGAATTCCTAAAATACAAATTAGACTTTTTTTTTTTTTGTTCCTCATGGCTAAAATACAAATTAGATTTGGAAGTCTATCTGGGGTACATTTCTTGAGATTGTAGCTTTGGATTTTAATATACTTATGTTTTAACTTCACAAGACCGTAGACTATTTCTTTTTTTCCTCAGTGCTCTACCTTCCAGTACAGGAAGAGAGTAGGTGCTCCATAAATATTTGTTAAAAGAATAAATACAGTAGTTTATCCATTATCAGCTATGCAAACAGCCACATATACACACACGTGCTAAGTTGCTTCAGCTGTGTCTGACTCTTTGCGACCCTATAGACTGTAGCCTGCCAAGCTCCTCTGCCCATGGGATTCTCCAGTTAAGAATATTGGAGTGGGTTGCCATTCCCTTTTTTTCAGAGGATCTTCCCTATCCAGGGATCGAACTCAAGTCTCCTGCGACTTCTGGATTGCAGGTAGATTCTTTACCACTGAGCCACTGGGGACTGAATTCAGCAAAATATGAAAAGAATTAAAACCATGACCAGGTTGGATTTGCTGCAGGAGGAAAGGTGGTTAAGTATTTGAAAATCATTACTATCACCCATCAAATCAACATGGTAAAGGAGAAAAATCATGACCATTTCAAGAGATGCATAAATAGCACTTGAAGAAGTACCACATGCATTTATGACAAAGACTTTCAGAAAACTGAAAATTGTCCCATTTGCAGTTGATAGGACATCCTACAGAGAAAAGATGAAAGAATTTGCAAAAATCTTACCAGAAAAAAATATGTAATTTAAGCAAGGACTGGGATACAAGATCAACACATAAAAATGAATTGTATTGCTATATACTAACTAGTGGGCTTCAAGGTAGTTCGGTGGAAAAGAATCTGAATGCCCATGCAGGAGAAATAAGAGACACAGGTTGGATCCCTGGGTCGGGAAGATCCCCTGAAGTAGGGCATGGTAATCCATTCTAGTACTTTTACCTGGAGAATCCCATGGACAGAGGAGTCTGGTGGGCTACAAGTCCATAGGGTCACAAAGAATTGGACATGACTGAAGCAACTTAGCATGCATGCATACACATACTAACAAGCAGGGTATGTGGACACTGAAAGCAAGGGTATAAAATCATAAAAATCACTTGTAAATTACAATACTTAGGTGTACGCTGAAAAAAATTTAGGACTTATACTTAAAACAACAAGATGCTGATGAAAGATATATTAAGAAGACTTAAATGAAGTGGCATGGCCACCCATGTCCTTTGATTGGAAGACTCAATATAGGAGACAAATCATTTCTCTCCAAGTTAAAACACAGCTTTAACTCAATTGTTATCATAATTCCCCCAGGAAGATCTTTTGTAGATATACACAAGACTCTTCTAAAATTGTTATTGAAAAGGAGAGGAACTGGGGTAGTTATAACAAGTTTTAGACAGCAGAATAAAACAGGAAGAATCACTATACTATCTAAAGACACATTATACAGCAGCAGTAGTCAAGAATGTGTTGTATTGGCAGAGGAATAAGCACATAATCCATGGAATGGAATAGAGTACCAACTACAGCCAACTAAATTTTGACAAACCTGCCAAAGCAATTCAATGGAGGAAGGATGTGCCCAGTCACTCAGTCATGTTGGACTCTGCCACCCCATGGACTGCAAACTGCCAGGTTCCTCTATCCATGGAATATGGAATTGGGTTGCCATTTCCTACTCCAGAAGCAAGGATAGTACTTCAACACATGGTTACTGCAAAAACTGGATATCCATAGTTTTAAAAATCCATTCAAACTAAACTTCACAACTTAAAATTTAATACAAAAGGATGGGGGCAATCACTTGGATGGAAAGGATAATAATCTACTGGATGTCATGAGCTGTCATGATATGCAGGTTAGAAACAAGTTGGATCTTGATATAGCATTCGCTCCTCAGGTATATGCACAGTATTGCATACAGAGAGAAGAGAAGCAATGGGCCCCATCCAGGGTTAAGGAGGACTTTGGGGGAATTATTTCTTTCCATCAGAACTCCCACATCCCCAGGATTATGACCCATGTCATAAGGTCTCAGTTTCCTCTTACAGTTTCTAGAACAAAGCATTATTTTGTCATGCATACTCAATGGTGCAAGTTAATCATCTTGTGTCCTGGGTGGCATGGCATTCTCCCCCTCTCTGGTTCATCACCCATGATAGGCCAGTAAAGGTGACCACTCAGAGTCCTAGCTGTGCAAAGTGTTCTGGACTCCTCAGGACACAGGCCTTCCTCTCTCCCAGAAGCCATGAATCTCCTGATGCTGACCTTCATGCTATGTGGGTTACTAACCCTGGTGACCAAAGGTAATGGAACCCTACAGTGGAGAGAAGATGCACCTAACTTGAGTTGTTGACCCTGAGTTCCCAGGTGTCTTGAGGGGAAAAGAGGGTCCATAGGAAGAGCTTTGGGCCAAAAAAGAGCAGTGGAAGTGCTTTCATGATAACAACTCCATGTCCTACTCTCTCAGAATCTGCTGTGGTGGTTCCGTCATTAAGTTGTGTTTGACGTTTTGTGATCCCCATGGACTGTAGCACAACAGGCTGCCAGGCTCCCCTGTCCTCCACTATCTCCCAGAGTTTGCTCAAATCCATGTCCACTGAGTTGGTGATGCTGTCTAAACATCTCAACCTCTGCTGCCCCGTTCTCCTTTTGCTTTCAACCTTTCCCAGCATCAGAGTCTTTTCCAAACAATGGCTCTTCATAGTGTCCATGGGTTTCTCCAGACAAGAATACTGGACTGGATTGCTATTTCCTTTTTCACTGGACCGTGTTTTGTCAGAAGTCTTCACTATGACCTGTCCTGGGTGTCCCTGCACAGAATGGCTCATAGGCAACTATTAACCTGGGGTGACTTCTGAAACACTTCTCCAAAGGCAGGAATTTCCTCAGTCTTCTGAATAGCCCTCTAATTTCTTTCTCTATAACTATCCATTGTTAACTCAACCTCACTTTGCTTCTATCTTACCAATTTCATTGCTGCACCTATTTTATGGTTGTGTCCCATTAGTCCAACTCTTACCACCATCTAGAATTCTTTTTTGTCATGAAAGGACTTTCAAGGGAGGCCCTCATTTGTTTATGTTCTGAGGCAAGGTGGACAAGTTCATCACACTGTTTGTAGAACTGGCAGAGCTGTCATGAGAAAGATAACACAAATTTAAGTTAGAAGTGGGCATAAGTTAAGACAGTAAGAAGATGAGTGATCAGTAGGGAACTTCTGCTAACTGATCAGTAATGAATGAGCTTACTCCTTCCTTTTTTTTTTTTTTTTTTTTTACTCCTTCCTTTTAATAATGCTACTTTGGAAACATATCTACTTTGGTTAAAAATAATATTTTCAATTGATTAAAAAGTTTCAAGCCATCAATAGTCTTATATAAGCTTAAGAAAGAGGTCTTTCCTATCCTAGGTTAACATCTCTTCAGTCTTCTCTTTCAGCATCACTGAATAAATCAATGAGGTAATTTAACCAATTAGTTGTGCATCCTAGCAGATCCAAGTATTTATATATCTCATGTTTTAAAAAACATAATATAAATTAGTCATATGGATTATTCTGCAATGTACTAGCACTATACCTCAGAGACTTCTTATCAGTGCATGAACCTACTTCATTATTTTTCATTTATACACAGAATATATGGCTGGGATTGTAAACTTCCTTTCTTTTTAAAAAAATGTCCGCCATCTTTTATTTATGTTTTCCTTTATCCAATGCATACTTTTTTGGAATGATAGAATAATAATAATAGAATAGAATATTCCTATTTTTGTAGTTGGAGTATAATCACTTTACAGTGTTGTGTTATTTTCTGCTATATAACAATGTGAATCAGCTATGGATATACATATATACCCTTCCTTCTGAGCCTCCCTCACACCCTCCATCTCACCCATCACAGAGCAAAGACCTGGGCTCCCTTTGTTATACAACAGCTGAAACCAGTCCTTAATTATTAGAACAATTCGGCAAGGAATATTAGTAAGCAAATGCATGTCTTTCCACTTATGGCAACACACACACACAAACACACACACACGCACTGAGAAGACTGTGAAACAACTGACCAAATAGGTTACACTCCTCCTCACTCTTATCACTTGTGTGTGAGAATGTCAGCTCCCCAAACACTGGTCACTCCATTTTTATCACATTCTTTCATATATTATATTTCAGTGAGTGAAACTGTTCTCTCATTTTTGTTTAAATTCATCATGCTTTACTTGCAAATATGTTTGGACATTCATTCCATTGTATTTCTGAATTCTTTCTTAGTAATTTTTAAGATTTCTTTATGTACTAAGAAAATGGACTAAAAATTTGGAGATGTTATATCTCATTTAGAAAAGTATTCACTTCTTTGAAATGGACATAAATGTGCCTATGAGTCTATATCTTGATTCACATAGAGACAGTGAGGTAAAGAATTATCATCTACACTCAATTCTGATTATGAACTACTAGCTGAAATTTTGCAAAGCTTTGAAATAATGAAGAAGGGGCAATATGGTTTCACCTTATTGCTCTCTCTGAGATTCCTGGATACCATGTGGGGAAAATGTGTATCATCCCTTTAAATTTTCTATTACATTATAAGTATTTTCTCATATATTAAATATTCTCTAAAAACTGAATTTTTTATTACTGCATAGAATTTCATGCAATGGGTGCTCTGTATCTTTTTAAAATCCACTTTCATAATTTGACATTTATGCCCTTTTTATTTTTACTAAGTATGTTTATGTTTTATATACAAGTGTATTCTTTATAACCACTCATAGACAAAAACCATTCAACATAATATTCCTAGAAATACAGCTATTCCTGTCTACTTAGTGCACTGTCAATGTCTGAACATTGCAAAGCAAACTTTTACACAAAAGAAAATATTTATGTTTATAATATTTTCCATTATTTGACTATGAAGAAATCAACTTCAAATCAAACTTCAAATGTATACATATATTTATTAATTATTTTGATTTTTCTACAAAGCATGTGGTTCTACTTGTTTTTCTCTTTTATTTTGAGGATGGTAGTTTTCCCTGCTGATTTGTAGATTTTCCACTTATAGGTTCTATTTTGCAACCTATTTAAAATTTTGAGTGTATTTTGTGTTTTACAGTGAGACTGCATCTGAGGGTTTGTAAAGAAACTTTTTACCAAGCCAAACTGTCCATCAGTGGACTGCTTTTAATAGCTATATTTAAGTTAATGCTATCTGATTCTGTATCTGCTTTTTTTTTCTTACAGGAGAATTCACACATGGTTCAATGTTTTGACAAGATAGCTTATTGTGCCTGAATTAGTATCATTGTTGTTCATATTTTAGATGAATGACTTTGAAATACTGGTGATGAAGGTCACATATCCTAATGACATAATAATTCCAGGCTGAGAAACTTTTAAATAAATGACTGCTGTAATTATATATATATAATATATAGTTATATATATTATATATATAATATATACACACATATATATTGGAGAAGGCAATGGCAACCCACTCCAGTACTCTTGCCTGGAAAATCCCATGGATGGAGGAGCCTGGTAGGCTGCAGTCCATGGGGTCGCAAAGAGTTGGACACGACTGAGCGACTTCACTTTCACTTTCACTCTACATATATATATAATGTTTACCAAGTTATAAGATTATTCCCAGTCATCATCATTGTATTGCTTAAGCCGTATTCTTGGAATTAACTTTGATATTCTAAGCTGTGAAATCCATATCTATCAGGAAATCTATTACGTCTACCTGCAAATTATGTCTAGAACCAACCCATCTCACCACCTCCTTGAATCACCACTCTGATTCAAGCCACTGTCTTCTCTCACCGATTACTGCCTTGGATTCCTCACAGGCCTCTGTCCTGCTGTTGCCTCCTGCAGTCTTCAGTCAAGAAAATGTAGGGTGTGATCTGCTCACACCAGAAGTCAGACTCTGTGCCTCTTCTGCCCGCATCTCTGCAGTGACCCCCTCTTCTCTCAGAACAAGGTGTAAGCAGTGTCCTTACAGGGGCCCACCAGACCCTCCATGGTCTGATGCTATGACTTCTCTCACCCATCTCCCGTTACTCTAGTTACGCTGACCTCAAGACCTTTCCTCTAGCATGCCAGGCTTGCTCAACCCACAGAGTTCTGTTTGTTTCCTCTGCTTATAATGGGTTTGCCCCATATACTGGCATGGCTAGTTCCTTCACCATCTTAAAGTTATTGTTTTTTGTCACTGTCTGTCAAGATTTATGCTAACTGCTATTGAAGAAACTGTCATCTACCCCTATGACACACCAAATAGGTTCCACTTCAATCTCTTCTTTCTTATTTCTGAAAACCACTTATCCTCTCACATACAGGGTACTTTGTCTATTGTCTGTTTCCCTTGCTAGAAAGTCTGCCTTGTGTTTTCATCTGCTTGGTGCACAGATATATCCCAAATGTCTAGAATAGAGTCTGTACCATAGTTAGGGCTCATACTTCTCTTGAATGGGGTGCTGTACACAAGTTCCAACTCTGGAGGGAATAGTTGAAAAGGAGTAGTGAGCAATGAAGTGAGAAGCAAGAGTGAAGAAGAATGGACAGAACAAGATGATTTAACAAGTTTGGGAATGGAAGAGAAATGCTGAGAGGACACAGGTTTCAAGGATGGACACCCTGGAAGAAAAGACTCCACATTGTGAAGTAATCTTTATAGAAGTGAGGAATGTGGAAGCAGTGTTAGACTTTGTCCAGCATGAAAAGGGTGGAATGGTTACCTTTGAAATCTACAGGAAGTTTTACCAAGGGAAAAGAATTGGAGCCAGTAAAATAATTAACAAAAAATGACAAATCACTGGAGAAGTGATGTCCTGATGGAAGAAATAGGAGCCAAATTTTCATTGGGCTCTCTTTCTCTATCTCAACCCACAAGTGGTACTTTTCTTACTTTATCAAATAAAATCCAAAAAAGGTTGTTTTGAGAATTAGTTGACCTTCCTCATACATCATTGCCTTCCTCCAACATACAGCTTTTGCACTAATTGTTTCCTAGAATACACCGATGTTGGTGCTTCTTGGACAGTTTGCTGAGAAAGATTGTCATGTAGTTGCCTGATAAATGGAACAGCCTAGTTTCACTTTGGCTTCCCTAGTAGCTCAGTTGGTAAAGAATCCACCTGCAATGCAGGAGACCCCCATTCAATTCCTTGGTCGGGAAGATCCCTGGAGAAGGGATAGGCTACCCAATCCAGTATTCTTGGATTTCCATGGTGGCTCAACTGGTAAAGAATCTGCCTGCAGATCCTTGCCCTCCAATGCATTTTGATGCTTCTTAGAAAGCCTACTGTATTGCTTGTCTGAGTTGATCATTCTTTCTTAACCACTATTTTGCACTGACATTCTTTCTCTTCAGTTTTCCTGCTCCACTCCTGTCTGTGTCTTCCTCTTCCCCCATCTTAGGACTTAAACCCACATCTCAAGATTTTAAAAATTCAAATAGCACTTTTATTTTTACCATTGCCAACACTCATACCAGTGAGAATTGGAAAATTTCCTGCCATATCAGTAAACAAAGGATGCCACAATCATCAGCAACTGCAGCCACCATGGATGGTGAGCCCTGATGGAACTCAGGAATAATATCTGCCATTTAGCAGTCATCAGACTGCAGTCACTCCCCATGGTGAGCACTGGGGAAACTCGAGATGTAGAAACCCAGAAGAACTGGCCCCAGATAGGTGAAGTGAAGTCGCTCAATCATGTCCGACTCTTTGCGACCCCATGGACTGCAGCCTCCCAGGCTCCTCCATCCATGGAATTTTCCAGGCAAGAATACTGGAGTGGGTTGCCATTTCCTTCTTCACCAGATAGGTGAAGTGAATATCAAAGGAATTATTTCAGTGAGTCCAGACTCATGCCTCTTCCCATGCATAGAAAAACAACAACTTCCTTAACTTGAGATATCTGGTTTTCCTTTAATTTGCAATAATCTTTTGATGTTCTGACTACCTGCCCTTTGTTAGAAAACTTCTTTAAAACCAGCCTGCCTGCATTGCCTTCCTGGAGCAGTTCCCTTGGGGTTACTTGAGATGCTGCTTCCTGGGCTTAAGTCCTGAAACTTTCTACCACATAAAACATAACTCAACTTTTATGTGTTGCATATTTTTAAAGTTAACGTCCAGTATGACTTTGCACCCATCTTCTCTTTTCCTCTTGGCATAGCTGAGGTAGTGTGCCTTCTCCAAATCTGTCAAGTATTATATGTGGTCTTGATCTTTGTCACCTAATCAAGGACTATACCCTTCCTTTTATCCTCATTTCTCTCTTCTACATTAATCTCCCCCTTTCTACTTCTTTTTTTCTTGATATTTATGGATGTGTTCTGTTATCTCCCAATCTTCAAAACAAACCTGGAAAACCCTCTCTTGACTTCATATTGACCTCCAAGTACTTATCTATTTCTCTGTTCTTTCTCACGATTAAGCTTCCTAACAGTTTGGTCTCTAGGTGCTACTTTTACTCTTCTCACTCACATGTCAGTCACTTTACTTCTGTTTCTCTGTTTCCTGCTGTTACTGAAAGTGTGTGTGTGTGTGTGCGCGTGTGTGTGTGTGTGGTGTCCAGCTGCTCGCCACACAAAAGCCAGGTTGGTGGAAAGGAAAGTTTGCTCTATTTCAGGTGCCAGCAACTGGAGGGGAGGGGAGCAGACATCTGTCCAAAGGTTGACTCCCCCCGCACAAGCAAGTTGGGCACGAACTTTTATAGACAGAAGTGAGGGATGGCTACATGCAGAAAACAACACTGTCATCTCTAACAGTCATCTGCAAACTGGTCATCCGTGGTCTGGCCAGCATCATCATGGCTGTTTTAGGTACAGTTAATCTTCAGTTCCAGGGTCCATTTTTTCCCATTTCTTTGAGACCAGGTCTAGGAATTGTGGCAGCTCACATACAGTCTGGTCATCATGTAATTAACTTCTCCACCTGGTGTTTTATTATATATAAGGCAACTCACAGGATATGGCCTAGAATATTATCATTTAGTCCTTAAGAAAGAACTAAAGGTCCTTGACTATGCTTAATGATTACATTATTATTATTTGGTTTCCTTTGGCTGTTTTCCTTTGTTTCTGCATATCTCACTTCTCTGATTAAACTTATTCTTTGACTGAAGTTTTCCACAGACAAAAGGAGGGCAGAGGACATGGTGGTGGTGGGGGCAAGGACCATAGTGTCCCGCTCCATTTCACTACCACTCTGAAGATTACCAGTGACGCTCATTGTGTTAAATACAATAGAGACATCTGACTTATCTTGCTCAACCTCACAGCAGTATTTGCCTACAAATGTTTATGTGTTCTTTTAGGAAACATTTTCCTCACTTGCATAATCTAGCCATACTTCATACAACTTTTCTTGTGTCCCTGTGGCATTTGCCATTTTCATGCACACCAGCCTGATTTCACCAGCAGTATCTCAAAGCATGGATGATTGCTTGCAAATCAGCCCTATAGTGGGCATCCCAGAAATGTCATGGAATTATCAGCTCATTCTGGGATCATCTATTAACTACTGGCTGGCAGAATAGTGGGAAGAAATATTCCAGCTCCTCTGACCCTGAAGAATGATAGTTTTGCCCTAGCCATACACTTGTTGCCAGAGTTCCGTGTAGGATTAAGCTCTAGTCAACCAGAGTGGTAATTAATTGTATAACTCGCCTTTCTTTTTTTTTGCTGTTTTAATTCCTTAACTTCCCCATTTCCAAACTGATTTTAGGAATGGGATGGGGGGAATTGTGCTGAATGCCTCTTAGTTAATTATTATACATCACTCACAATTTTTCCCAAGGTCTTGTTTTGGGGAAGCTAATCTAATTCTCTAGGGCCTCATTCTCCTGTTTTGCTCCAGTTTATCTGGCTGTTCCTTCTGAACATTTTCCTCTTATCTGAGCTTTCAATATTGACACTAATCAGAATTTAATCATGGTCCTCTTTTATGTCATATTATTCCAACATACACTACACTTAATCTATAAATTGTATCTTTACATACTGGCCATAAGCAATGATTCTAAAATTTACAACTGAAGTATAAACTTCTCTACTGAGTTGCTACAGTTGTATCCCACTGCCCTTTGTACTTCTGAGCTATATTGTGTTGTTGTTATTGTTTAGTTGCTCTTTGTCCAGCTTGTTTGCAAACCCATGGACTGTAGCCTGTCAGGCTCCTCTGTCTATGGGATTTCCCAGGCAAGAATACTGAAGTGGGTTGCCATTTCCCTCTCCAGGGAATCTTCCCAACCCAGGGATCAAACTCATGTCTTCTGCATTGGCAGGCAGATTCTTTACCACTGAGCCACCAGAGAAAGCCTGTACTGTGTAAATGTCCCAAAACAAATACTTGTAACCACCTTTTTCTTCTCCCTCCAAATCGTATTCTTTCCTCAATTTACTATTCTATGAATGGCAAGCATCATGAATCTCCCCTATATCTACTCAGTTCAGTTCAGTCGCTCAGTCGTGTCCAACTCTTTGTGACCCCATGAATCACAGCACACCAGGCCTCCCTGTCTATTGCCAACTCCCGGAGTTTACTCAAATTCATGCCCATCGAGTCGGGGATGCCATCCAGCCATCTCATCCTCTGTTGTCCCCTTCTCCTCCTGCCCCCAATCCCTCCCAGCATCAGGGTCTTTTCCAATGAGTCAACTCTAAGCATGAAGTGGCCAAAGTACTGGAGTTTCAGCTTCAGCATCAGTCCTTCCAATGAACTGATCTCCTTTAGGATGTACTGGTTGGATCTCCTTGCAGTCCAAGGAACTCTCAAGAGTCTTCTTTCTCCATCTTTCATTTACCTTTTTATTCAAAGAATCAGTGTCTGAAATCTGTCCTCTTCATTCCACAGTTCTCACAGCCTCAGTTTCAGCTGCCATCAAGTTTTACCTGTCTGAACATGTTTCCCAAATTCTATTCTTCCTTTTCTCTTAACTAATTTCTGAGTGTTATCCTTGCTAACCATCTAAAATTTAAAGTAAATTAGAACATATGATGGTTTGAAATAAATGAAAATGCTTCAAAATGGCCTATAGGGACTAGGTGATGGCATTGCTACTTCAAGTTCATTTCGTCTCCTCTGCTCCATGCACATTATACTTCAGATTCTCAATACCTTAAAGACACTATGCTGCTCCTTAATAGTGGTGCTGAGCATTTGCTGGTCCTTTTGGAGAAGGAAATGGCAACCTACTCTGTTATTTTTGTCTGGAAAATCCCATGGACAGAGGAACCTAGGGTTGCAAAGAGTAGAACATGACTGAATTGACTTAGCATGCATTCTAAGATACTCTTTGCCTCCTGTGTATCCTGTTGTCTCCTTTCATCTTTCTTGCCTTCCGTGGCTTAAATATCAGCTTTACATATGTGTCCTCTGTCTTATTTTCTTTCCCGTCCTCTTCTTTCCTTCTCCAGACTCTCTCCTGTCTCCTCCTCCTCCTTCACTCTGTCCCTCTTCCCACCCACAGCAATTTCCTAAATGGCACATGTCACAGTTTTTACTGTAAAGTTTTAGCTTTCTTCTTTGTCTCTCCAAATGGCTTGTAGTATTTTTATCATATTATTTTAGATGGCAATAGTAGTGGTTGCCAAATTTTGGAATTGCTGTTTGTAATCTTTCGCTAGAATTTAAAAATTGACTGCTTGGTTTTTTCCCTGTAGCTGCCTGGTTTGTTGAAAGATGCTGGAAGGATGATATAGGATACTGCAGAAAACGATGTTTACTTCATGAAAGGTACAAATTACTTTGTATGAACAAGCAATCATGCTGCATTCCCCTAAGAAGTTATGATCCGTACACTCAATGGCCAATCCATCCTACCTTCCTCAGAGATCTAAATGCTGAATATATTACTCGTGATGATTTTGCTTTTTCCTCCGAACCTGGGTTTACTGATGAGGTAACAGTTAAAGCAACTATGACTCAAGAAAGCAGAGTAACTGGGGCCATTGCTTCCCAGAGAGATTCTTCCTAGATTTTGACACCTACTCCTGAGAGCACTGAGGATACAACGTTTTCTGATGAGCCTGAGACAGCAGATCTATATAGGTGTTGGGACTAACATCCAGGGAGCCAGTTCTACTGATGTTATTTTACAGTTCTATCGGGGATTGGATGCCATAGAGGTGGACTTATGCAACTGCCAAGGCAAGAATGAAAAGAGTTACCTTATACAGAAATATATAAAGATAAGTGTATAGAAGATATAGGGATCCTTCATATCGAGCTTAAATTCTTTTCCTGTTTGCCTCTGATATACTAATGTATATGTGCTAATATTTGGTTTCAAGTGATATCTTTGTGTGTCTGTATATTTTTCCACAATAAATAAATATATAAAACATCACAGTTTTGAGCTGCCTCAATAGTTGAGACAGAAAATTTGATTTTATTAATGCCTGAAACCCTACTATCATATGTGAAGAACCTATGCAGTCACATAAAAATTTCCAAACAAGTTCTCCCTTCCCTGTCCCTACCAAAATTTTTTGTAAGTGTTGACTTTAAACCCCTGTTTGTACCATGAGGTCAAATTTTGTTTAATACTTCAACCAGAAACAAATCCAGTTATAGTTAGAAACTACCTCATCCACCACAAACACTTATTTAACTAGACAGAGGTGCAAGTTGGACTTGCTTTGAGAGCACATCCTATTAAGAACTACGTCACAAATTCTGCTTATCTTTCCAACGCTCTTTCCACTCAAATGTCTACTCAAAACCTCCAACTGCGGTTGTCTCATTGTGTGCCTGTCTGGATGTCCATTTTGTCCATGAATACTGATCATGTGTAGGGTGCCTATGCTTCATCTGCCTCTGTCATGCACGTGCTGTTTGTACAGCAACTGGCGGTTTTGCAACTTCACTCTCTGATATCACAAAGAAGCAGCTATTCACTCCAAGTTGATTAATTATTCATGTGCTGAGCTATGGTTGGGGTGTTACTGAGAGCCACAGTTTCAGATGCCTACGTATCTCAGAATCGAGAAGGTTTACACTCTAATTCTTTTTATTTTGTCTAGGTCAAGTTACCAGGGATCCTAGCTATAGAAGAGGTATTTGGCCTCAGGCCACTGACCCTTAAGTAGACCTCATATTCCAATAGCTCTTGGGCCTCCTGTTAGGCTGACAAATATCCTACTTTGCCTGGGACTGAGGGTCTTCCCAGAACATGGGAGTTAGACTACCAAGACCAAGAAAGTCTTTAGCAACCCTGGGCAAGTTGATCACCTTCTTTTAGTGTACCCTGGCCCGAGATGCTCTTCTCCATTCGTTTTGTATGGCAAATACCTCATCACACAGGTCACATGCCAACTTCACAGAGGCATTCTTTCACTATGAAGACATCCTGAGGCCACCACTCTGCCTCAGCCTAGAGTATTCTTCTATACCTTTCCCTTAAATGTCACCTCCTTAGAAATAATCCACTCCTCACTCTACTTCACATCATTTTCTTCATATCACTTGAACTCTTTGAAATATTTTGTAGATTTCTTTGCTTTCTTTCTGCATTATTTCATTAGTTATGCACATATAGCCTGCCATCACCACTCTAATGTACACAGAGTCGTTATACCATGCTCTGGCTCCTGACTGTGTCCCAAGCTGGTAGACCAGTGCCTTGTGCAAGGTGGATGCTCAATAAAAACTTGAGCACTTTCTGTTCATGTAATCATTTCAACAAATAGGAGAAGGGTGGACAATACAAAGTAGTAAACATCAAGCTGGGATACTGGATACAGCATTTTTTCTATATGCATGTTGATAATTTAAGGGAACTAATTTTTTGACCCTCAGTTTTTCATGTGCTGTGATACTCAAACCATTTCTAACATGTTCTTTTCTACTTCCACTTTCTGAATTTCTCTTCTCTCACTCTTGAATGAAAACTTACTCCTCTTCCTTTTTTTTCTGACAATCATGGATTGTTCAGAGTGGAAAAACCTGCAGGTATCAAATGTAGATAATTGAAAGATTGGTGCTGGTGTTTAGAAAGTAAGTAATCATAGACTTTGGACAACAAATCTTTTGGAAATTCAAGTGACTTTCAATTCTTGTTTCCCAAAGCAGGGGCAGCAGAGCAAATCAGCTGGTGTTTGACAGATCTTTGTAGATAAACTTTAGTGATAGCTTACGATGGGATTTTTGGTGAGAGTTGGACTATAAAGAAAGCTGAGCGCCGAAGAATTGATGCTTTTGAACTGTGGTGTTGGAGAAGACTCTTGAGAGTCCCTTGGACTGCAAGGAGATCCAACCAGTCCATCTTAAAGGAGATCAGTCCTGGGTATTCATTGGAAGGACTGATGCTGAAGCTGAAACTCCAATTTTTGGCCACCTCATGCGAAGAGTTGACTCACTGGAAAAGACCCGGATGCTGGGAAAGATTGAGGGCAAGAGGAGAAGGGGATGACAGAGGATAAGATGGTTGGATGGCATCACTGACTCAATGGATATGGGTTTGGGTGGACTCCAGGAGTTGGTGATCAACAGGGAGGCCTGGCGTGCTGAGGTTCATGAGGTCGCAGAGTTGAGTGACTGAACTGAACTGAACTGAAATGAACTGCATTTCTCTCTCTTTGTGTGTATCTATCATTTATATATCTGACACCTAATCTTTCAACCTTCATATTTACTTTTAATTGAATAAGGTCTCTTGGTAATTCCATTTTTAAAAATAAAAAGTGGGAAGACAGTTGATAGTGACCTTCATCTTATTAGTAAAAGTAATATTCATCTATGTATATATAAACTAATATAAAGAAAGCACTTTCTATTTACTAAGAGGATGCCTTTATAGTAAAACAAAAAAGTTCTCTTCAGCAATAATTGCTTTTCACATTTTATAATACATTCATGGGGTTCTAATCAGTTTTGTTTCAAGTATTACAATAATGGTTCAATCTTGAAATGTTAAATATTTATAACTTTATATTTACACAGATTTCACAATAAAGATTATATATTCATGCTTTGTTGCAGAGAAATATGATAGAATTATCAATATAGACTTTCAAAAATAAAAATTTATTACATTAAGGTTTAATTTTATGGGTATGCTAGAATAAAAATAAGCTACTGGAATTAAAGTTTAAAGAGGAAAAGTGATGTAATATTTTTATTAGGCTGGTACAAATGTAACAGTGGTTTCAGACAATGAATTTTAAATCATTATAACTAGGCTCAAACACTTCTTTATTCATCAAAATAAATTACAATCAACACAATTTTGACAATGAGAAATAAGTTTGTTTATTCCTGTAGCATAAAAATCCGTGCTTCTGGATTCAGTGAACTCTTGGAAAGCATTTTCTGCATCCTGCTGGTTGTGGTAGCATTTTCCCTGCAAAAAGTTGTTGAGATGCTTGAAGAAGTGGTAGTTGGTTGGCGATAGGTCAGATGAATACGGTTGATGAGGCAAAACCTCATTTGACCTAGTTCATTCAACTTTTGAAGCATTGTTTGTGGAACATGCTGTTGGGCATTATGGCAGAGAAACATTGGGCCTTCCAGCTGACCAATGCTGGCTGCAGGCATTGCAGTTTTCTGTTCAGCTCGTCAATTTGCCAAGCATACTTCTCAGATGTTTTTGCTGGTTTTGCTGGGATTTAGAAAGCTGTAGTGGATCAGACTGGCAGCAGACCACCAAACATTGACCATGACCTTTTCTTGGTGCAAGTGTGGCTTTGGGAAGTGCTTTGTAGCTTCTCCTCGGTCCAACCACTGAACTAATTGTATAAAATCCACTTTTCATCACACCTCACAATCTGATCAAGAAATGATTCATTGTTGTGTAGAATAAGAGAAGATGACCCTTTAAAATGACAATCTTCCTGATTTGCGGTCACCTCATGAGGCACCCACTTAGTGAGCTTTTTCAACTTTCCAGTTTGCTTCAAATACCAAACAACTGTAAAATGATCAACGTTGAGTTCTTGGGAAACTTCTTGTGTAATTGTAAGAGGATCAGCTTTGATGATGCTCTCAATTGGTCATTGTCCACTTCCGATGACTGGCCACTACACCCCTCATCAAGACTCTTGTCTCCTTTGCAACACTTCTTGAACCACCACTGCACTATATGTTCATTAGAAGTTCCTGGACCAAATGCATTGTTGATGTTGTAAGTGGTCTCCACTGCTTTATGACCCATTTTGAACTTGAATAAGAAAATTTCTAGAATTTGTTTTTTGTCTAAACTCATTTCCATAGTATAAAATACATATGAAATAAGCATCTAGTAATAATTCATTAGCAAAAAGCATAAAGCAAGGAATGTGCATTAAAAGGATGTAAAAGACAACCACATTTGTTTAAAAAGGTACTCCAATATCAGTTGGCAAAGTTCAACAATGTAAAACTGAAATACTTTGTACCAACCTAATGATTGTTAAGGAAGTGATTCTTTGCATATTCATTAAATGGATTATTGTCAATAACAAATTCTATGCATTCATATTAAATTGCAATTTTTGCATCTCAATTTTTATAGCACACCAGTATTCATAACATCTTACTATATAAGTTTACAATGAAATATTTTGTCTCAATTTAAAATTGTGTTAGAAAAAACACATGCTCAAAATTTTTTTAAATTCAAAAGTTACTCTTCCTACACTACCTGGTACAGACTGACAGTGGTAGTTTCACTACTCTGATCATTATGTCTTTCTAAAATTCCTATATACTCCTTTTCCTTTATTATAGACTTTCGTTATCATGCAGCATGCTAGCTTTTGCTTTCTTTTTATCATCGCTGCTCAGGGTCCCCTGTAGCTTAATAGTACATCAATTCTTTAAATGAGAATTGATCTCCAAATTGCTGCTAACTTCTTATAAAATGTTAGAAAGATAATATTTGCATCTGCTTCATTTTTGCATAGGTTCCAACTCCAGTCTGAAATATCCCATCTCCTGAGTTATGCTTGTTAGACATATGATTTGATGTGTTAGACATTTTATATTTAGGTATATCCT